GGTTCACAGAGGCTACGTTTAGATTACATTTTCAACTTCAAAAATTTTACCATACGTTTCTGAGATTCCGATTACACATATATAAATAATAATAAAAATAATAAAACAACGTAAAAATGACGTAACATTGGCGTAGTTAGTTTGTCCTTGTTTCTAGTATTTAGTTTATGTCTGACACTATTCTTTAGATAATTATTAATATTATGTTTAACATACAAAATATTACAATCAACAGTGAGTATATTAATCTCTTTAAAAAGGTCTCTGAGTGTATGCCGGGCTCCGATGTTATAGATTGCTCGGAGAGCTCTTTTTTGAAGAATAAATATAGAATTGTGACCTATCCCGCATCTGTTGTCGATCTGCCTTTAGTGAATCCATATTGCTCATTGTGGAAAATTTTGTTCATATTAAAATGTACTAAGAGTTGATTTAAATTAGTTTTTTAAAAATTTTACTCAGAGATGGCAATATGGAGATAGGTCTGTAATTTCCTGGATCATTTTTATCCCCACTTTTGAAAACGGGGATTATCTCACTGAATTTCATAAGATCTGGAAATATTCCAGAATCTATACATTTGTTAAAAATATATGCCAATATATATGTGCAATATACGGCATTATTGTGCTCATTAATTTTATGGACATGCCCCATAAATCTCCTGTATTTTTAAGCTTAATAGAATTCAAAACTTTTCGCAGTGGCCCCACCAATAGGTTCCACAGTTTTATGCGCGCGTGAATTTCGTTTGGGCGCTAGTTAGCCGTAAAGTTTGATTTTGCTGATGTCTAGGAACTGATAAAAATTAATATACACTTGACGACTTCGATACATTGGATTTGCGTTGGATCGTTCAGAATTAATCGCTTTAAGGATTCATCGTCATCATAATCATTCCAGCCACTGCTGAACCTGAGGCCTCCCCCACAGACTGCCACGAAGCACGATTTGCACATATCGTTACTCCATCTAATTCGAGGCTGCCACTCGAGAACTTTTAAGGATTTGTTGCGGTCGAAATGGGACTGTTTTATTCGGCCAGGACGGGTGCCATATGGATCAAACTGATCGACGACAACATTAGGCATTAAGGCTGTAGTGGGTGTTCTCACCGCACGCAATTTAGAAAATTTTGTCATTTAACTAGTACAGAGCTTGCTTTAAGTAATCGAATAAAACCGTTTAAAAACTTTTAAGTTAAACGTTTTTTTTTATGTTTTTTTTTTTGTACACTGAAAACAACAATATTGTATTGTCATCTAAATTAAATGTGTGTACCAAATTTCAGATCAATCTGACAACGGGAAGGTGCTTAAATTTCACTTTCTAATTTTGACCCAAATAAATAAACAAATTCCGTACGTGTCGAGCTAAATAAAACCGTTTAATAAAAACTAAAAGAAGATGAGATTTAAAGAAAACACCGAGAGAGATGCATGAAAATTAGATAAATAGATTTATTAATTAAAATATGAGTGTATTTAATGTCGCACCAAAGGATGGACATAAAATTTAGAAAAATCTAAAAGATAAATAAAAATCACAACAAAGTTGATCTTAAAGTTAAATATTACTACTCTTAAAGTTACATACTACATTATCCTATACTAAGACACTATCTTAGAACTATTTTTTTTTTCACATCAGAGATTTTCGTATTTTTTATTTTTTTTTGCAATAATTTTTTCATTTTTAATTTTTTTTGTTTTATTTTTAATTTTTTTACATTAACAATATTTTAATGCTATTTGTGTTTTTATATTTTTTATACTACCCTTACATTACTATAAGAACTACGGAATACAAGGCGTATTTGGATCTGCCATGGCGCCTAGGTTACAAAATACAGTCCTAGGTTCACCGTCTAATTATATATTGTACTTACCTAAAATAATTATAATACACACATTACCGCTGCCTTAGTTAGCATTCATATAAATATCAATAACTGTAAAACGCTCAAACTGTCAAATAACGACAATACCTTTCACTCTTGCATTATTTAAAGCCCAATCCAGAAAAAGTACCCTCATTCACATACATTCACTCAAGCGCTCATACAAGTCGATCGGGGCCATCTTAATGCCCGCCAGGCTAGGTCTGGCCGTTATATCATTATGGGCCCCCAAACGACATCAGCCACAAAATATTATTATTTTTCTTAACTTCCAAAATCCTTTCATACCTAAAGATAGATCAAAGCGATTTAAGCGAAGACCTAAATCAGCGCCTTAGTACAAAGTTTAAATATTATCATGAACTATAATGAAAGATATAAAATCATAAATAATACAATAAATATAATAAATAGTCTCAATGAAACGTAATTTCAACTCATTATTTAATGTGCTTTTGTCGCAAACAACTTAATTGTAATGATTAACTTATCTCTAAACAAATAAAAATCATGAATATTAACCTAAATGAACTCAACTAAATGAATTAATTATGTAAAATATCGAAACAGCAAAGATTTATAAACTATTTCATATCCTTCTGATAACGGTTTTGACAAAATTTGTTATCGTTCTAAAAACAATCTATGTTTCCAAAAATGGGTTACCACCATTCCGCTGATCAGAAAACTAGGACGCTCCCAGTGGGTCTGTTTAATCATTATTATAATGAAACTAAACACATAAAGATTATTAATAAAGAAAATTCATATGCGAACGTCAGCAAAGGAATGTGAAACAAAAGGGTTAAATAAAATGTTAACGAAATAAAATTCTAAGACCGTTCACAGAATGATGAAATGATTAGAACTACGGCATGGAAAAGCAAAGCTTATATTCACAGAACCACATATAAGAGACGACCCTTTTAGACCAACAAGCTGAATTGGACGGGATTACACCGAGGACCAGTAGAAACTTTGGCACTTATTGCCATGGTTAGATGAATATCGTACGAGTTTACATACTTAAATTTCAATCAGTCGGACTGTATTTTATTTCTCTCAAAATTAGATCTCAAGCCCGGGTTTGGTTAAGAGATATCGTGACTGAGTTCAAAACAATTCAGAAGGATTTTCGAAAGTGACAAAAACACAAAATACTCTATTGAACAAATTGCACGAAATAGAAAAGCGAAGAGTCTTGTACTGCGCCTCATAAGGTATCTCTGCGTTCATTCTTTTATATCTAAATTTCAGATTTCAAGTACGCTACTATTTTCAAACTATTGCTTTGGCGAATACGCTTGAGTATGTAATACACACACCGGCATAGTTAGCGGAACAATACAAAAAAAATTAACGCAATACTGTCTCGTTTTAAGGTACTGGCCAGGATAATTAGTTTTATTTTTAGATCTGATTTGAAAATAGAGAAAAGTGTGATATTCATTTGTTTGTTTTAATTTTCCCATACATTCGAATCATCAAATTATATCGTAATAATAAGACGGCTGAACTCACGTAAACTCGGTGTATGTACCGACTAGTTTTGGACTCATCGGAGGCCCTTCATCAGGGTGAGTTAGTTCGCGGTCGCGCCCCGTTTCGCACTGCGCGCCTGAGCTCGCAGCGCGCGGGTCGAGAGGGAGGGGGGCGCGGGTTGCGCCGGCGATGATGACGCGTCCGGCGAGATTGGTCTAGTGTCACTATTGGTGTTATTGGGAGCACAAAATGTACTCACTATGTCCACTACACAATCGCTAGCACTATCGTTCTTATTTCGTGTCGCATTGAACAACACGGTTTTCCAAGTAGGATCTCGCTGGACGCGTCATCATCGCCGGCGCAACCCGCGCCCCCCTCCCTCTCAACCCGCGCCCCCCTCCCTCTCAACCCGCGCGCTGCGAGCTCAGGCGCGCAGTGCGAAACGGGGCGCGACCGCGAACTAACTCACCCTGATGAAGCAGCTCCGATGAGTCCGAAACTAGTCGGTACATACACCGAGTTTACGCGAGTTCAGCCGTCTTATTATTACGTTAATAATGTCTTACGAAACTATTATTAATTTTATCAAATTATATTCCTGTAGATGTAAAGGTACCTTTTTATTCCGCTAATTATGTCAGCGTCTGTACAAAATAACTTATCAAAAACTACTACTTCTAAGACTTACATTATTAACTACCTATGTTAAAATTTATCTCTTTATGGATACATCAAAATAATAGCCTATGGAGGCTTTGAAAAAATGTCAAGTAATTTTTAACATTACCTAGTACGTAAAACATTATGCTTAGTTTACAATTTTTAAAAAGTACAGTTTATTGTGTTTTCGAGATGGTATTTCGTCCGCTTTGAAATTAAAAATAACTGCTAGTAAACCTAGAAGCAATTAAAGTTTAAAGTGTAATTTTGAAATGAGTTGATCGATAGATTAGTTTTAGAGAATTGGTAATTTTAGTTTGACGGTATTTGAAAGTGTGTATAATAAAGTATGTACCCGACATTGTGATTTTCGACAACTGTTAAAATGGTAGTCAAAGTAGATTAAGTAAGGTTTAGATATTGCAGAGTTTTTGAATAACGCAGAGTTACGTCATTGCCGGTAATTAATCAACCATTATGAAAATTTCTAAAGGTGGCTGCGTTATAGTTATAGAAATGCATACAACCATTGGTAACATATCAGATATTATACTCAATTTGTAGTAACCAAACAATAATGCCTCTCTTATGAGCTTACTGTTATATTTGTTAGATTTGAGTAAAAGTAAAATTTTATTTAGCAGCTCTCTTCTTAAAAACGACTTTAACATTTTAACTTGAACGCAAAACTTTACATCCATGATGTTTGAATTTTCTTCTACAATTTTTCTCCAATAATAAAGTCGATAGCAACACAAACAAGCCCCATAAACTTGACACGGCCGAACAATGGGACAAACAATCTGTGGTCACTTCTTGATCATATTCTTTTAGTAAAGTCCAAATCCAAAAAAAAATCACTGTCACTTACTTCATCAATTCACTAAGCTGGCGCCGCTCTTTGATGATGAAGAGTTGGCACTGCTCCCTGTTTGACTTTCCTGGGCTCACTTTACTCTGGGGGCTCCGGTTCTAGGACAAGAGGGATTCGCTTAGTTTACTTGAAAAGCAACTACGAGCATCGGTTGTTTGAACACGTCTGACTGGGCCATTTGTCGTTTCTCTGTTTCAAAGTAAACTATCCTTTATTCACTTTGGCAAGGGCACGCAACAGTTTCAGCTGTCGCACGAATGAAACGGCTCGCCCGACGAATTACCGCGCTCTCACAGAAGGCCGGCGTGAAGTGGATGCTTTACATTTTAGCGTTTCGAGGTAACCGGGGCCTGAATCTTCGAAAGTTGGTAATGAAAATTCAATTTAATCTTATCTTTAATCTGTGCGATGTCGCAATGACTAACATCGTGAATTTGGTTCTTGCACACAACAATTATTTATAACATTTCCCGGTTTCCCAGAATTTCAAGTTCTATAATAAGAATTTCACCTTTGATAAGCAGACATTCGTCGCTCCTTTGTGAGGCGTCTCCGAACAAACATGCAATTTTATACACAGACATTGAGGTTAAGTAACAGCCTTTATATTACGTTGCACTGCTGGCCCTCTTTGTACAGAGGTTATAACGGCATCTTCCACCACGTACGCGGACTGGCGGACTTCATATATTTTCTAATTCCTTAAGCCATACTTATATTTTATTATAAGCCATACGGCTTAATATCAAAACCCACCACTTCGTCGACATTAACGGAATTACAAACCAGCATACCAAAATAAAAAAATTATATAAAAATAAAAAGCTATAAAAACTTATACAAATAGTTAGACTGCAAATAGTAGAATACAAATAGTAGAGCTTATAATAGATACCTTTCTCAACGGGGCGTGCCCGTTTCGCCTGCTTGGGCGTCAGAGAATTGGAGCTTTTCTCTTCTTGGGCTCCACTCATGTTCTTTTTTTCTTTTTTATTCATTTTTCTCTGATTTTTACGAGCGCTGCTTCTTAAAGTGCTCGAAGTGCCCCTCCCCTCAACCTTCGGAATGCTGCACCCCGAAGCCGATGGAGCGTTGCTCCCCGAAGCTGAAGGGGCGTTGCTCCTCGAAGCTGATGGAGCGTTGCTCCCCGAAGCTGATGGAGCGTTCCTCCTCGAAGCTGATGGAGCGTTGCTCCCCGAAGCTGATGGAGCGTTCCTCCCCGAAGCTGATGGAGCGTTGCTCCCCGAAGCTGATGGAGCGTTGCTCCCCGAAGCTCCCCGAGCGTTGCTCCCCGAAGATGCTGTTAAGAATATTTCTTTACTTTATACATATTGGGTAATAATACCTTTTCCGCGTGGCTTGGTGCCGAGAATGCTGGCTGCCATTCCTCGCTGAATAGTTACGCTTATCCTAGGAGAGAAAAAAGAACCAGCCCTCTAAACATTAGCCGCGGTGGTAAGTGTTTCCTACAGTCCCCACGGACCTAATGTTTCAACAGCAAATAGCAAAAAGACAATCTGAATAAAGAGGCACTATATTTGCGCCACTTATATACTTCAGCTCAGACCCCGATGCCACCATGTGCCTGACCGAGATACTCCTTAGATAAGAAGCAGCCAAAGTGTCTACAAAAGTGCATCCTAAATCTCTCCCAGGGGATCGAACACACAATGACACGATCAAGACGTCGGATCTCTTGCCAAATTAAATGTGTTTAACCATCTTCTTTTATAAAATAGTACTGCCGGCGTCCGCCTTTCCGTCCAAATACAACGTTGGCGTCTTCAAGGCAAGAGTGAATAGGTTTCTACTGAGCTAGCGCGCTTACCATCAACGGCTGCATCGCCCCTTACCATCAGGTGGGATGGCAGTCAAGTACTAGCCAGTTTTAATTTTTTTTTAAAAAGTACAAATGTTGAAAGCTGTTAACTTTTAGGACCACGTAGCAGCTTCGGCTGTTGCACGAATGGCTCGTCGAAAGTAGCCGGGACCCACTTTATTAAAAGGTGGCTGCGCATCTTTAACCCTTCGGGTGTTGCAATATCCATGTGAGGCGGATATCACTTAACATCAGGTGAACCGCCGGCTCGCTTATCGCTTTGTCACATAAAAAAGCCACGACTTCACAGAAGACCGGCGTGAAGTGTAAGTATTAAACGTTCGCGTTTCATCTAGTAAATGACGGGGCCCACTTATTTTAGCATTTGCAAGTCCTGGCTTGACAACTTTTCACATAAAAAAAGGTCGCCGCACTCCTTTGCTGTTGCGGCGTTCACAAATGACTAACATTAACCAGACGTTTGGATCAATCGAACGATTGAAATACTTACTGCTGGCGGAGGTACTTAAATTTTCGTATTGAGCAAAAATCGGTGGTCCAGTGATTTGGCTATTGGCGTAGAACACCGGCGGCGTTCCAGTTAAATATTGCATCGTGCTATGGTATGAAATTAAAAAGCTAATAAATGAAGAGCACTGACCGATCGCTGCGTCTTTAAGTTTCGTTGCTAATCTGAAACAAAAGTAAAAATCAAATTAGTATTTCATAAAGTTCTAGAGTACTTAATAAACGTGGGCCAGGTGTAGTTCAACTACACAACTAGATTTTCCATTTCCAGTTTTAAAAAGAAATGTATAGTTGGGGGGTGAAAATAATTCAATAACTCCACCGTCTGAGACGAAAATTTAACTGTGGGAAAAAAATAGTAAATATTTTTCATTAAAACCATTTATTGCAATGGGTTTAATGAAATACGAATACTACGGAATATTGATCGACGATATCCGACACGAATGATATACGATTTGAAATAACTAGTGGGATAGTTGGCAATATATTTTTTTTAATGCAAAAACTGGCTAGCACTTTACTGCCATCTTATATAAGATTGGCGATATACCCTCGCCTTTCCCATGGCAGCCCCTGCGACGTAGCGTATGCAGTAGGCACATATAACACTAATTCATTCCGGATAAATAGCGTCGACGGATTAGCATGTGTAACATAATATCATAACATATGAAAAAAAGTTGTTGATGTAACTGCTTCGGAGAATGGTCAGAGCGCATTTTAAACTAATCTACGAACTTACTAACTTGACTAGAGTGTCACCGAGAGCAGCATAATTTAATGACTTCGTGGCGTAGTTGCCAAGGTATTGGCTTCAGCGTCGGGGTCGTGGGTTCGATTCCCACACGGGACAAATATTCGTGTGGCCCACAGATAGTTGTTTCGCATCTGGGTTGTTGTCCGCGTGAAATTTATATTTGTAAAATGTCCTTACAACACAGGATAATGTCATCCTAAGGTTAGGGGAATGTTTTATTTTTTAAATAAAAATAAATAATTGCCCAAGCCGCACCATTAACATATGGGTTGTTGTGATCTGCGATGACTTTTAAGCAAAGGAAAAGAAAGTCATTTTAAAAACTTTGTCGCTATCAGCATAGTTCAATACCAGCTTTGCCAGAAGACATTGCAAGGGTCCAAAGGCACTGCCGTAGCACGCTTAGCACGAGCTCGTAATAATGGTCATAGTTGCACATCATAAAATTTCTTTTGCAAACTCTATAAAATGACTTTATATTTTCCAATGTAACTTTAAAAGTATATGCAGTTCACGTCATACATATCCGGAAAATAAATAGCGACAAATATAAAAGGTAACTGCAGCGGAAATGGCAACACCTTTCAGGAAGATGACCACCGCGAGACTGTGCCAAGTGCAGCGCGCCAGGCGCAGGGTGAGGCCGAGAGCTGCATCGATTGATTGCCTGGGCTGCCACGCATGTGCATATTAATGCAAAAAAATTTAATGTAACTGGTGGTTATAATACCATTCAATCTTATCACCAGATTTTGCTTCCTAAATCTAAATCTGTCAAACAAAGAAGGAATCTAAGTTTCAAGAACTGCACGCTAATAGCAGAGTTCAATTGTAATGAACTGTGATATTATCATTTTTTCAAATTTAAATAGTATTTTACCCAAAACAAAACAATAATAAATTGTAGTCGCCATTTCGAACCCTTAGATTTCTCCAAGGCGTTTGATAAAGTTAACCATTCACTCTTAATGGAAAAATTGTCACACTTTGGTTTTGGAGGTTCTGTACTGTCATGGTTTGCGACTTATATTGCGGGTAGATCATCTTTTGTTGTTGTGAAAGTCATACCTTTCTACATCTGGGGTTCCCTAGGGATCTATCCTCGGGCTAATTTTATTTAACATATATATATATATATATAAGATGTTACGGAAATCTTTCGTAACGACGACCTAAAAATCACGAAAGAAATAAGATCGCCCAGTGATAGTAGGGCTCTTCAAGAGTACCTAGATAGATTATATGAATGGTCCCAACAACACGGAATGGCACTTAATCCGGTAAAATGCTCATTTTCACATAATCACAATCGTAACAGCATACCATATTGACGCCATAGCGCTTAATGAACAAGAAGTGGTGGGTGTAATGTTTGATACCAAATTATGCTTTAGACACCACATTTTAAATATTTGTAAATCTGCTAGGCTTATGTTAGGGTTTGTGTGCAGAAACTCCAAAGACTTTAAAAACCCGAGTACAAGAAAACTTTTATTCACCACACTGGTCAGAAGCAAGTATTGAGTATTGTTCGGTTGTATGGAATCCAAATTACCAGGTTCATAAAGACCGTATCGAGTCTATTCAGAGACGCTTTACTTTCTTCTATTTAACTGGGCCAAGAAAACGAGGGCCTTATCCTGAGCGACTTAAGAATTTTAACCTTATGAAGTTATCCGACAGGCGCACAATACAAGACATGTTGTTCTTGTATAAGCTGTTGAACAATTTATTTGATAACCCAGAGTTACTTAGTCGTATTGCCCTTGACTTTCCTTCCTGTTTGCCGCGCCAACTAAAATCTATCCTCACTCATAAAACATACAAATCTAACTTGGGTCACCATTTTACAATTCCCAGATTGTACAGACTATTAATTTTTTTTACAAATAAAGATAGTTTAGATATTTTTAACGACAAATTATCAGTATTTAAATCGAAAAATGTCAGGGTATTGAATCCAATTAGCGCCGTAGCCGTCTAACATTCGGTCTATTTTGTACATATCTATGTTGCATCACTTTTATAATATGTAATAGTTTTGTAATTTTGTTATTATATTTTAGATAATTGTACAGATTTGACAAATACCTCTTCTAGCGTCTTGTTCTTAAATCGTACACAACAATTATCATATACCCCAAAAAAATAACACTTATGACCGTTGGAATAAGAAAAGCTCCCGACACTTGTTACAAGATAAGCACACCGTCTCAGGGTGCAGACTAATAAGGGCAGCCACGAGTAACAAAAGTTCGAGATTGTCCACATATAACAACCGCATCGAAAAATTGAACCGGTAACCACGATTGTCTTATAAGAATACCGGTCTAAATTCACACATATTTAAAATGTTATCAAAAAATCAAAGGTATCTAATTGTGTTTGAAATCAATTCGGAGGAAGCACAAGAACGGATACACCATCAAATATGACCACTGAGTTTTTAATGCATGGGACACATTGAGTCAGCGCAGTAATTGCCCGTCTGATGAATCGATGTCGATATTCTGCTGGACCAACGCCCATGTATTGGTTTATAGCTTTTATTTTAACAACAAATAAAATCTTGAATAAATTTATTTAAACCGCGAAAGCAAACAATTGAAAAACGAGTTACTCGATCACTTCGAAAATTCTAAATCACGAATCTAGAAAAAAGGACAAACGCAAGTACCACGGAAATGGCAACACCTTTCAGGAAGATAACCACCGCGAGACTGCGTCGAGTGCAGTGCACCCGGCGCAGGGTGTGGCCCTGAGCTGCATCGATTGATTGCCCGCGCCGCTGCGCATGTGCATATTGATATGGCTTCTTGGGATTTTTAACACAAAGAAGGAAACTTAGTTTCAAGAACTGCACGCCAGTAGCAGAGTTCAATTCCAATGGACTGTGATATTATCATAGTTTTCAAGAAGACAACTCTCCAATCTCAAGGCTGTTGACAATAGCTATGGGCACACATCTTTAGATTTTTCTGGTCAAGCTTCGTAAATTTCGAATAATACACACTTTGTGGTCGAAATGACAACTGGGCTATTTTTCCCATCAATTAACAATGACCTTACATTGAGGCGATCTTTTGTAACCACGTGATTTTTTCCTATTTAAATATTATACTACACTTAATAAGGAGACAAAACACAAGTGTAGAAAATCGTAGTCGTCATTTCGAACCCTTAGATAATTGAACAGAATTGACACATACCTTTTCTAGCATCTTGTTCGTAAACCGCACACAACGTTTATATTCCTAATAGGAACACTTATGACTGTTGGAATAAGAAAAATTCCCGACACTTGTTACAAGATAAGCACACCGTCTCAGGGTGCAGACTAATAAAGGTAGCCGCGAGTAATAAAAGTTCAACATTGTCCATAAATAACAACTGCATCGAAAAATTGGACCGGCTACCACGTTTTTCTTTTAAGGATAACGGTCTAAATTCACACATATTTAAAATGTTTATCAAAAAATCAAACGTATCTAATTTGAAATCAATTCGGAGGAAGAACAAGAACGGATACACCATCGAATATGACCAATGAGTTGTTGATGCACCGGACGTAGTGAGTTAGCGCAGGAAGTACGCGTCTGCTGAATCGATCTCGAGATCTGCTCGACCGACGCCCATGGTTTTGATTTATTGCGTTCGGTAAGCATGAACTATGGAAAATATTTAAAATTTACTTAGATTTTATTTTGACAGCAAACAAAATCTTGAATAAGGTTATTTGTACCGCTTGCAAACAATGAAGTTGCCAATGAATCGATCGCTACGGATAATAAATCACGACAAATATAGACGAATAAAAACGTAACTACAGCGGAAATGGATACACCTTTCAAGAAGATGACTACCGCGAGACTGCGCCGAGTGCAGCGCATCCGGCGCGGGGTGTGGCCGAGAGCTGCATCGATTGATTGCCCGGGCCGCCGCGCATGTGCATATGTGTATAGCTTTTTAATATTTTTAACGGACAGAAAGAGATAAGATTTAAGAACTGTTCGCCAATAATATAATTAAACAAGAATCAACAGCGTCCCGGGTGGTAGCTCTTCAATCTCGAAAGCAAACAATTGAAAAACGAATTACTCGATCACTTCGAAAATTCTAAATCACGAATCTAGAAAAAAGGACAAACGCAAGTACCACGGAAATGGCAACACCTTTCAGGAAGATGACCACCGCGAGACTGCGTCGAGTGCAGCGCACCCGGCGCAGGGTGTGGCCCTGAGCTGCATCGATTGATTGCCCGCGCCGCTGCGCATGTGCTTATTGATATGGCTTCTTAGGATTTTTAACACAAAGAAGGAAACTTAGTTTCAAGAACTGCACGCCAGTAGCAGACTTCAATTCCAATGGACTGTGATATTATCATATTTTTCAAGAAGACAACTCT